CACACTCTCCTCCAGACGGGACAACACACACTCCTGATTCCGCTGCAGCTCGCGCACACACACACTCTTCTTGTCGCACACGCTCTGCAGGTGGGCGATCTGCAGCGAGAGAGGAAAGAAAAACAGGGTGGGGGAGGGGCAGAAGAGCACTTCAACATCTTAGCCACATGGGAAATATGATGTTCACAATCTGTCAGCAAACTGTTGCAGATGTGTCACAGCTGGCAGGCACATGAAGTGAAACCTTGTAGCTCAGTGTCACCTCGCCAGTTTGTGAAAATACTCTGAGGGTCTCAGGCCTCTGAATGACGCCACAGGCCTGGACAAGACCCCAATTTATTCATATAGTCAGGAAGCTAATGTTAGCCGGCTCGCTCCTATATTGCTTACCAACATGTTTGCTAGCACTAAACAAGATAAAGCCACTTTTATCAGATGAAGCCCATTTAAACAAACAGAAATTTGACTGGCATTCGAGTAAAGTTCTTTCACCATCAAAATATCAATTGATTCAAATCCAACACTCAGACTGTCTATATTTTGACTAACATATGTTATCAAGTAGGCAAACACATATAAATGCAAGTTATCTAGAGCTGTGACCACACAGGAACTGATTCCCTCTGACATGATAGCCAGAAACCATACACAATACGTCACTACTAGGCAGACCATGGTCTATTACTAGATTTTAGATTTATTAACCTGGCGCAACTTTTTTTGTATTTACAGCACAGTAATTTTAATCTGTAAATCTGTAAAATGTAAATAAGGACAAAGAAAAAGGACGAACCTTAAACTACATCTTTTTCAAAAGTTCTATTTTAGTTTTTATATGAATTCCCTCTTTACTTTTGTTTAAAAGAACGTTTTACTATCAGAATGCCATTCAGCTTATTGTGAAAAATAATTAAAACGTAATGATAAATAATTAAACATCGTTGAAATGTTGTAGAATTGTACTTTCTTTGTTTCATTTGACAGCCAGTTGCTGATTGTATACAGTCACTGATGCAACTGTTAGGCTACTTCAAATTATAACTTGTCATCCTGCTATAGAAGGACAATGACATTCAGCATCAACAAGTGACTCTTGGTGACACAAAGTGGCCCTGAGATGTATTTTCTCAACATCAAGGCAAACCAGTGAAGCAATGAGATTGACAGATACTGGTGATTAACTCATGAAAGCAGAGTGAACACGTTTAAGGGCAACTAATAATAATAATAATAAT